GTTTCAAAATCTGTTTGGTTGGCCAGAACTGCATGCTGACTCAAGGGTAATTTGTTAGAACTAAAAAATAGAACTGAGATGGATTACACAATGCATGCCATCAGATACATGTTCAGCTAGTTTAGTAAACATAGTGGATTCCTAAAATTCAAAGATATCAAATAAAAAAAATACCTCATGGCCATCATGGCAAGATAAGCAGCAAGCAGTGCAAATTCCAGCATTACCATTGGGGGTGCATGTCAGACATGAGAAAATTGCCTGTCTCTTCATGTAACCCTTAGCATAGGTACACTCATCACCCTCATCTCCACCCAAAACCAGATCAGCTTCCTTTTTGAAAAGACAAAAGAAATAAATTAAAAGATGCCCGGAATGGGAAGATGAAAAACATCAACCCTTTTGCATATCAGGTCCAATCTCTTATGACCAAGAATCATCTGCCCAAGTTTGGGATTGGGATAAAAACTAAAAACAAAGCTAACTTCAGACACACACCATTCATTACCAAATACATCCATGGTGCATCCAACATTAGCAAATCAAAATTACCACCTCTATCAAACATTTTTCTCTAAATTTCAATCAATTCCAGCAATATTCCAGAGTAAAAAATTCATATACACAGTTTGACTACAACTCCATAAGAAAGAAAAAAATAACAGAAATTGAATCCGGAAAATATTTACAGACACAAATCTGAGCAGACAATATCTCAAACTCAACTTAACAATCCCTGGAAAAATATACTGAATTTTAAATTGAAAGGGGGGAGCACAAATGTCTTCATAGCCTTAATCATGCATTTCTAACACATAGCTAATCCAAGACGATTTCCGCTGAAAATCAAATGAAACAGAAAGAACTCGAAAACAAAACCCTAAAATCAGTATAAGTAGGGCAAAAGCTTTTACCAGCTCCTTTTCTTCGATGCTCTCGAGATACTCGTTGATTGACACCGTCTGCTCACCTTCCTCCTCGAAAGGATCTGCCATTCCCAAGTCACCAGAAGTCACCAGAAGTTCCAAGATCGGGTCTTTGCAGTTCGTACCTGTAACTCAACAAGACAAAACAATGGAAAATTACTGCAAAACATGCATTTCAAAGCACTGAATTAAGGAAATACAGGTTTTGCCCTAGAACCAGAAACCCTAAGATTGTGGGAAGGTACCTAGCAACCTCCTAATCAAGAGAATTTCAAGGCTTTTAATGGTGGTATGTGTCCCGACACACAGGATTTTGTGGAGAAGAAACGAGAAATGGAGGAGATAGTCAGATGTTGGAAAGGGGGAGTTTAGGGTTTCATTGATAGGAGTAATATGGTGCACAAGGGACTATACGGACATTTTCCCGCCACAAACCAGTTCTAGTGTAATCAAATTACGTGATCTGTTCCCTCCAAATCTTGGGATCTTTTTGTTTTTTTTCGGATATAATCAAAGCTTTTATTTTATTTTATTTTTTTTTATGTAACGAAAAAAAATGATAAAAATAAAAGGAGCAAATGAAATTTTAAATTTCCCTTTTACTTTTCTTTACATTAGAAAGTTGATTGATTTTACTTTAACTTCGAGGTTTCATTAAAACTACTCTTACCATTGTTTTAAAAAGGTTTTGTAAGTAAAGCACCTGTGTTTCGTAGTCACTTAGCTATATGTTTCATCATAAGATGAGGATTTCTGTCCAACTTGTTAAGCTTGATTTAAAGCCTCATTTTGTTGGTGCAATAACTCTAGCTTAACCACAACTCATAAGATTGAGAGATTGTCTTTTAACTTTGAGGGGTTAAGCTTGACAAACTTAAAATGAGTAAATAATCAAATCTTGGAGATTTTCTTTGTGAAGTTTTTCCTTTCAAAGCCCTTTAGACTTATGGTTAAGAATAAGGCCTCCCACTCATTTGGAGGTTTCTCGGTAAACCTCTAACCCACTAAGATACCCTCACTGGATTTGGCTTTTAAGCTTTCTCTAATTAAAGTTCTTTTTGTTTCACCAAAGTATTTTCTAACTCTTATAATATGTTTGAGTTAAGAGAAATAAAGGGAAGGAGAGAGGAAAGAAGGGTAAAATTGTTTTCTATTTAGTTACTAAAAAAATTGTTTTAATTTATTAGTTTATCTAAATAAGAAGAAGGGGGGGAGGGAAATGAAGGGATAAAATTTTCTTCCTCTCACTTTCTGTCTCATCTATTCTTTTCAACTTAAATATAAAATTAGACTACTTGATAGTCTTAATCAGACCAAATGAGTAGTCAACCTTTGAAGATTGTCCTTATAAGGTTTCCCCCTTACAAAGCCTTTTAAACTCCATTTTTAAGGTAACAAAAAAAAAAATGATGAAAATTTAATTAACAAATAAAATTTCAAATTTCCCATTTACTTTTCTTTACATTGCAAAGATTGAAAACCGACCCATGAAACTGAAATTTGATTAATTAATTTTTCTTGCATTAATTGCATTGATTTTTCTTTACATTGCAAAGTTAATTGGTTTTACTTCAACTTTGAGGTTTCTTTAAAACACTTGAACTTTGAAGTTATAATCAATTGTTTTTTATCAAATTGGAAATTTCAACTTTAAAGTTCCAATTATCAACAAGAACTTAATTAAGTTAGTATTTATTAATTTAAAAAACTTAATTTAAGATTAAGATAAAAGGTCTAAACACAGACTTATAAAGCTAACTAACTACTCTAATGTACTAAAACACTACTCTAAGGTTTTAGTTTTTAATTTGAGTCTTGTGTGCAAATTTTAATCTAGTTGTGTTGATTCTAAATCAATTAACATTACATCAGTCTATTATTTTGGTCTAATATATAGTTTGGAAACATTGTAGCACCTAGTGCCGTTCTAGTTAGAGTCTAATATGCAGATTTGTTAGGGAGGTGGCCCAAGATTGAACTAAGACCAACCATTGGGCCTTAAAACACAATAAAAGTGCAAGTGACAAACATGAGGAGTGGAAAATTTACCTACGTGAGCGATGGCACGTGGGTTAATAGGGTGATGAAATGTGGTATTGGTGTCATAAATTAGATTATAAATATTATTCTCCTACTTCCATCATATATAATAATTTTATTATACTTCTTTCTTTATAATATCTAGTTACGAAAGTTTATCTTTTTAGAATGAATGATTATTGTTAACTTAAATATCGAAGTGTTGTTGTTAAGAACACCTCATCAGAATATTTAGGTACTAAAGATATTCAAGTATTCACCAAAAGCTTAGAGCTCATGAAATAGCTCAAACAAGATCTAATTTAATTTTTTATTGTTTTTTTTAACAAACTTATAAGGGGTCAGATTCAAACCATTACTCAGAAAAATGAAAAATGCACTTTACGAGTGGCTTGAGATCATTGGCCTTCGGTCCAAGTGCAATCTAATTTTTTTATTGTTAAGCACTTTATATTATGGTAATTTCATTTCAGATACACCAAAAATTCCAAGTACAAGACACAAACATAAATATTTACAACTAAAGTCTATTAATCTTGGACCAAAGCATTTTGGTTCAAAACTGAACCAATCATA